AATATCAAACCTATGTAACTTGTTTATAATTAGCCAATCGCCTATGTAACGATTAATATGTAACCTGTATCCATGAAAATCCTAACGCAATAAAAATTTACCTTGTAGAGTTCTATCTCTCCTTTGGACTAGTACTGATAATCGTGGAAACCACGTTAAGTCCCTCTGTTCTTTATTTTTTTATATGGAAATTTAACATGTCAATCCGCCAAATATGAATATTTGATTCGCCATATGTGGTTGAGTGTCTGGTTGTGAAATTTTTTTTGAATAGGAGGATTAGGATTTGAGATTTGCAATGTTGAGAGAAGTTGAACTATAAATCATTAGATCTTATACGATTTGCTAACAAAACCAACCGAAGGAGCAAACTCAACCGAGTTTTCAAGAATAACACTCACATGCATGGAAGGCAAAGTGATGAGTGTTTGGTTGTGAATTGTTTCAGGATGTATTTGGATAGGAGGATTGGATTTGGTATTTGGGACTTGGAATTCCAAATTCCAAATATGTTGTTTGGATACTAATTTGAAATGGTATTTGAATTTGTACCAAATATATGGGTGAATTTGAAATACATATCTAGATCTTTTTTTGTGACTTTTAAATACACATCTATAATTAGTGATTTGAAATTCCTCTTGGCAAGATATTGGAACTTTTTGCAAAAATTTTAACAGTTTAGGTACTGCAGCGCAATTTCAAAAATATAAAGGTACTAAACATAATTTCACCACCAAAATTTATGGACCCGTTTGTAAAAATATTAAGTTTAGGTGCTAATTTGTAAGAAAATTTAACTTTGATAATACAGGGTAATTATTCAATAATTATAATGCATCACCAAGAAACTAAAAAAAAAAAAAAAAATACGAAGAGCCAAAAAGTTCAAAATAAACTCGACAAAAGAAACAAACACAGACGAGATTACAAATTAGAGAAGTTTAACTCACCAAGCGAGTGAAGGTGTCTGTCACCTTAATCCAAAATCCAGGTGTAAGCATCACACTGGCCTCTCCTTATCCACGTGGCGCGACAAGCGTCAAACTTGTTGCCCAAGTTTCCCCATTAATCTCAGTTCCTTCGAATTTAAGCTCATCCCACGATGCCGCAAACGCACTCATATCATAAAAACTGCTAGAGAGACAAAGTAACTGTTCGTCAGTGATTAAGAGAGAAAAAATGACGGCGACCGGGGCGGCGGCGGCGCTTCTTCCGTTCAAGGCGAAGAAGGGCAGCGTGTTTCCGAAACCAAGGAGGCTGGTCAAGACCATGATGCTTCAAGCCATTCTCTCCTTGTTCCTCCCGTCATCCTGCTCTTCCTCTTCTTCATTTCCTTTCTCGACTGGATCTCGGGACGGCGGAATTCATGCCGGCGGCTGCTGCGGTGGCTGCCGCCGGGAGAGATCGGACAAGGTCAGGGATGTTAATTTGTAGTTCAATTGGGAATTGATGTTGCTGTTGTTCACTCATCTCCCTCTCTGTTACTGTGATTCAGAATTGAAGTGGGAAATTTGTTCTAGTTATAGTGTGAGTAGTGGAAGGAAAGACGAGAAAGGGGCTTCTAATTTCGGCTGTGTTATATAGTGAAACCCACCTTTTGGGTTGTGCTGTAATAAGAAAGAAAATTTGAAATTGCGTTACTTTGGTGGTGTTGGTACTAGTGTACGGACACTCTGTTTTGCCGTTTCCTCTTTGGTTGTCCAGAAAAACAGAAAACAGAGCATAATTGTGTAAAGGAACTTTATTGATTGACAGTACTGTCCAGTGGAAGGAAGCCATTTTTATGTATATAATGTTTGTTGGTTCAATGTTTATATCTCTGGTTGAAGTAATCGTTTGATGCAAGTATGAATCTTTCCAATCGTTGCTGGGTTGTTTTGTCTGTTAACTCCCTGTTTTGGCCATAACCTCCTCTGTTCCGATTTCTTCGTACCGGATTGGTTTTTCGGGCTAGATCTCTCCACTGTTTCTTTCTTTCTTTCTTTCACCCATTTCATTGTGGAAGTCAAATTATTATCTCTGTCTCTCTCCCATGGAATTGCTCTGACCAGTTGTCCCTTCCTCGAACGTGCCAGTGCACTTTCATCCCACAATGTGATGGCTTATCGTTATTGTACATGACAGTTCAATCCGAAGCGTTACGTAACATTTTCATAATGACTTAGCACTTTGGAGGTTTAATATAATTGAATAAAAGAAACCTCCATTATGTAAGGTTTTTCGTAATGATATTTTACAATTGTTATGTAAAATGCACATCCATAATGTAAAGGTTACAGAAAGATACTTATTTCTTACGTAATAATTTAATCAGAAGCGTTATGTAAGATTTCTGTAATGACTTATCACTTTACGTAACGCGATGATATAACATTCATTCATTATGTAAAAGGACAGTCCATTACGTAAGACTTTCATAATGACCTTTTACAGCTATTACGTAAGATAAGCATGAGTTATGTAATGACTACTCTATTTTAAGTAATGCGACATGTGAACCTTACTATAGTAGATAACAATATTCAAGTTACCTTACATCAATGCATTATAGGAAATTCGCATGTAACTAAATTATCAAAAAATCTTGGAGGGAGTGAAGATGATGATTGGCTTCGACACTCTTATTGTTGGCTCAGCTTTCTCAGTCGCAACATGTGGGAAAGCAGTGAACCTAGCTGTCATGCCATGGTGCTAGGGTTTAAACGAGATGAAAGCAAGATCTGGAATTTCGGCAGATGTTTTTTTCCATCTATATGACGAAGTTAATTGTAGAGAAACACAAGCTACTGTAACTAATTTCGAGCCTTTTATTTGAAGTCTTACAGATATCCAATCTTTCATCAAATATCTTGTCTTTGTAGAAAAACATATCTTTCACAAAATATACTATGGTTTAGCAGTACGCCAGTAATCAATACCATATGTATGATCATTATCCTTTGGTTTTTAACCTCTTTCTTAAGCTTCCACGCAAATCCTGTTTGTAGGAATCAGAAGGTTGCAGTCCATTTTAGGGTTCAAGGTCTCAAGCTCTTCAACCGTCGTTCCAAAGGCGTCGGCTATGTCATAGCAAATGTCGCCAGCTTTTATTACATAGTATTTACTACAGGATCCCTCCTCATGACCTGCACCTGCCCAATATTTATTCCCAGACACAAAGCCAATGAGGTACCTTAATAAATATCAAATTTCGAAATTACTAAATATCGTCCTAATTAACTCTGATAGCCGAATTACATATTTGATCAATGATAAAATTTTCAAAAATCAAACAAACCAAACATCCCCTCGCCCCTCCCTTTCCTTTTCCTTTCGACAACCAACCCGCCCTTTCAACCTTTCGAATAGTAATTTTAAGATGCCCAATAGTAATTTTAAAGATGACATTTATCAATTCCCCTATGTTTTCTTCGTGCGGTTGCGCATGAACCTCACCCACATGCTTGTGAAAAGATTTCTCTTTGATTTTCAAAGTTCAAAGAGTAAGGAATGAAAGAACGATTTTGATTTTTTAGAAGGGTATATGCATATACTTAAGAGACGACATGCAAGTTGAAAACTTACTGCTAGTGATGAGAAAGCCGATGAGGAAAATGAACACCATGAGCTTGAGGTTACCGTTGCCCATCTCTCTCCCTCTCTAGTCTCAAGCTCTTTCTAATACTTCTTCAATTCTTTGTCAGATTGAGTGTTGAACTTGGAAAAACCATCTCCCTATTTATACCACTAGAGCCGAAGAAACTACAAAAATAGGTTACCACGAAATCGAGCTTTCTCAAAATGAAAGCCTATATGTAATTAATGGGATGTTGTTGTTGCTGCCTGCTGGACGATTTGTTTATGGGGATCTAGTCCGCCGGCGGCAAATCGACGGTGTCGCTGTCGGAGGAGTTTTGGATATATGAAATTCTGAAGTGTTGTAACCGACCATATTGCAACTCATGTGCCGGCTATTTACTAGATGCTGAGGACCAAATTGGATGCCTTCGGCAGTATTTTGATACTTCCTCCTTCTAATATTAATGAATAGATGTAATTTGTTATTGATATTAGATAAAAGACAGTCCACCAAAGCAAAAAACTTGAGCCTGCACCCTTGTTGTTGGGAAGAAAATATAAACGTGAACGTCTATTTGCCGCCAACCAAATTGCTATTTACTGCAAACTAAAAAAACAAAAAATTGAGTTCAAATTTTGAATTTTCCCTTCTTTTCATTCTATAAATTCGGATACCATTAACATTCGTCTTGTAGGTCGAGTCGATGAGGATGACGTACGGCCATGCATGCAACATCTGAATGGACATCGGGTGCGCAAAAAACAGATTAGTGAGCACATTATTAGCGTTCTTTTGCAAACAGATATGGTACCCACGCTGTTCAGCTCCGTGAAGCGCAAACTGTATCGCATCCACCCATCTCATCCAATCTTGTCTTGTAATTTCTGTTGTATATCTGTTTGATATCATGATGCACACCCCCTTCAGTATTGAGTATTGTCGTCTTCTGCTGATTTGGTCTCACCCCCGCCTTCCTCATTAATCTTAACCTCTCTATTTCATCCTCACTAAACTGTTTGTTGTGTCGGTGATGTTCTGGATACAACACTTTTTCATGGTTGTGAAACCCTCTATTAGCTCCGGCTACACGACTTGTCACTCTTACTATGACCCATGTGTTTGGACCATTCTCTTGCCATACTTCCTTAATACATATATGAAACTGGCAATCGGTACCCTTCGAACTAATATTCCCACGCCTCTCCTTCGTAGGGTCTGGTTAATAAGACTTAACGATCCTACTGCTTCTGTCACAAAACATACAGAGGCCATCATTAGTAACCCAATCTGTCATTGTTGTTGATTGTCAGGAGCGCCTATGAAATTAGGTTGAGATGGCTACAAAGCGGGTCGATGATGGTTGGTCGAGGAACAGAGTGGTGGTGGTGGATTTGAGGATGGCGCCGATGATTGTTGGTCGGATTCGCGCTAAACTCGAATGTTGCATTTCTTCTTCGCAGTGGCGTTCTCGGCCGTGTCGTTGACGCTCTACATCCCGTTGACCCACTCCCTCAACTTGTTCGTAGAGACGGTCGAGGATGTCCAAGCCCAACACGTGGTAATACCATCTGACATGATTAAATTGTTATATTAAAATTGCATCGTGCACCGTTTAATGAGCTAAATGCCAACATAAGAGTTACATATGTGTAAAATATATTAGCCCATGCTGTAAATTATATGGACTCGGTTAACAAAACGGATGTCGATTCTCCCTATAGGTAATTTTACTCAAATTCATATATTTTCGATGATCATGGCTACCCAATATTTTTAAGAATGATCGGTTGACCCATTTTAATGAGGTTGTTAAATCTAGATATTCCAAATTATTCGGATTTGTAAAACGCAAAAAGTTGCGTATCAAATGTAAGCAAGAAATTTGTAGGTACCAAATTTATTTTGTAGCCATTTATTGGACTTTTATGCCAAAGAATTAATTTAAGGTGTTGAATCCTCAATAATATTAAATTCAAGTAGAATAATATAATTTTTCTATGAGTATAGATACAAACCCAAATCAAACTATAAAAATCTAGACCAGGCCAAATAATTGGGTATGAGTACTATAGTACTTCAGGTGATTCTGATTACTACGCCATCAAGTGTCTTTTTTCCGCCTTTCACAAATTAACGGATTAAGTGAAAGGGAAGTAGGTGAATCATTTATGAGTCGGTTAGGATATTCGGAACATGGAAAGCGAATTTTCGGGTTTGTAGATTATTTTTCCGTTTTCTCTTCACATGTGTACCTGTTCTTATAGATTATATATAATATATACTTATTATACCACATTTTCCGAACATGGAAAGCGAATTTTCATGTTTGTAGAAGTCGTCAACAAACCTTACACATAGTAAGATTGTCAGAGATTTGACATTTATCTTGGACGGTCAAACGTGTTGACTAACGTCAATCCACCACGTCACTCCCTAATCAGCATAAAAATAATTTAAAAATTACTAAATTTCACATATTGTCTAATTTCAAATTATTATAATTAAATTTAAAAAAAAAAACACACACACGATAAACTGAAAAAGGCTTTCTTCATTTACTCCACCAAACACTCTCCGATCCGAGGAAGGCAAAGAGTAATTATCATAGAATAAAAACAAAAATAGCTATAAAGGAAACAGATAATATATATAGGTTTGTAGAGTGGAAACTGGAAAATAAGGAAACAGATAAACATTGGAGATCTCAACAGTCCGACGATGATGGCAGCGGGGGAGGACTGCGCCGGCAGTAACAAGAGAAGAAGGGTTCAGGGAATTAGCTGCGGAGACTCGGATTCGACGATCGATGCATTACCGGAGGAGATCATGGTGGAGATACTCTCGAGGGTCGGGACGGTGAACGAAGCGGCGCGGTGCAGCCGTGTTGCGAAGCGATGGCGGGGATTGTGGCGGTCGGTGGACGGCGGGGTTCTGGATTTCGACAAGTCGGCGGAGCTACTGAGGAGCAGCATGCCAGCATCCCGCGTGCGCCCTTCATTCCTCGCGGGAGTTTCGCAATTTGTGGGAGCGGTGGTGGCCGCGATTGCTGGAGGGAAAAAATCGTCGCCGGATCGGTAGCACAGCACCGATTCGCCGACGGGGTGAACCGAGCCTTGAGTTCCCACCGGGCGGAGACTCTGGACGCCCTGAGATTAGGTTTCTACTTGTACACGATGGACGAGGAAGCGTGGAATTGGGTGGAATTCGGAAGGAGCTGATTTTGTGGTCCTGCTTCTCCTACTCTGCCCCCGACCACCACCTCGTCTCCCTCCCCGGCCTCACCGCCGAATTCCTCGCCGGGCACGATCTCCGCCGCCTCAAGGTTCTCGAGCTGAAGGGCGTGTCGAGGATCGCTCAGGAAGCGGTGGACCACATCCTGAACAACTCGTCCAATTGCCCTTTCCTGCAGCGACTGTGTATCTGCGAGTCCAATTTCGACGGGGAGGTCATCAGAATCCGTCACAGCAAACTGCAATGTTTGGATTTTACCCACCTGTACGGCGTGCGCAGGATCGAGCTCCTCTGTTGGATTGGTTGCGGTTTAAGAACATCAGAGTCCTGGATTTGCTCGTATCTAATGTCCGTGATTGTCTTCTACATTGCACCATCCCGCTGATGGCAGCTCCAGTGTTGCGGGAACTGTCGATATGGTTCAATCTTCTCGATTTCTTCATATTCAGCTGGGAACGGATTCCCGGGGAGAGGGTAATGTTTTGGACATGGGCGCACACATCTCTGGAGCCGCTTCACCTGCACGGGGTGTGCCAATCTTCCCCGCGCGCGGCGGCGCTCGCAGTCGTCGGAAGTCGATGCTCTTTCGGTGTACCTGGAGCTTGCTGCTTGCATTATCACCCGATCGCGTGCCTTGCGGGAGGTCCACATTGACACCCGCTCCCCACATTTGATGCGCTGTCCTACGGTTGAATGCAGGCTCCCAGCTGAAATTGAGAGTGACATTTGCCGAGCAAGGATGGAGTTGGAATCTCAGCTCCGGGACCTCAACCACCGCATCCAGCCGATTCACTACACTTACCGATAGACAGACAGACAGATAGATGGCATCTATTTGAGTTTCACTCTGTAATTTAAGTGTTTTGCTAATGTGTTATCAATCTGGACAAACTCACAGAACCAAGCTAGCTAGTCATCCTGCTTTTTACAAGAACGCTTCTTTCGTTCAGCTAATGGCAATGCATAATTTGCTTGATTGGCTATATTAACTAGCTAGGCTGGATAAGGAAGAAATCAGAAAATGTCCAACATAATTTTTTTTGGATATTGTACCTCTATAAGCTTTATGTAGTGTTCTAATCTTTGGGAAACTCATAAATCATATACAGTGTCTTAATCATTACGGAAGACTTACTTACATAATACGTTTGTTTAGTTGATATATAAGAACTAATTATGCTTCTATAAATTTTACATAATGTTTTAAATCATTAGAAGAAGAAAAAAAAAACTCATGCAATAACTTTGTTGTAAAGAGTGGGGACATCCATATTTTGAGAGAAAAATTAATAAATCTCGGTAGTAGTTTGAGAATGGGAAAATGGACAAAAAAATAAATAAAGGTAGTATATGTGATTTGAATCTTTTACATAGTAGTTATTAGTGAGCATCTTTTCTATTTGACTAGACTGATGCTTGATTGAGATATTTCTTATATAAGATAATTCTTATTCGACCATTTGTTGTTATAAATATAATTATAAACGTGTAGTTCTCACTTTCGGCACTTATTTGTAAAAAAAAAAAAATAGGCACTAAATATTAAGATACATAAACTTTGGATATTAAAACTGTATTTGGTACATAAACCCCAATAAAAGCTACGAGGGAAGGCAAAGAGGAAGAAAAAGGGACAATGATAGTTACTACTAACACCTTATTACAAGTGTTAGTAGGGTGCTAATACTAAATCGGTATTAATATATTTTTAATAAAATAACGGTAAACATGGAGAGGACAGTGACAAAAACAAAACTAACACATAACTTATTATTGTTTCATAACATTATCATCACTAATTATCTTATTCATGGGTGTAGATAGAAAGTTACACTGTGTTGCACGTAACAAAAAAAAAAGTTATTAACTTTAGATATGGTGCAAACATATATAAATATTCGGATTCGCCGGAAGTCCATCATAGATTCAAAATACCATAACATTAAAAACATATTATAGTGTAGAAGTACGCCAGTTTCTCTGCCATGCTTTTTTTCTGTTTTTGTTTTTAATCTCTTCTCAAGCTTTGACGCACATCTTGGTTTTAGGTAGCAGAACTTTGCAGTCCATATCAGGATTCAAGGTCTGAAGCTTTTCAACGGTCGTGCGATAGGCTATCGCTATGTCATAGCAAATGTCACCGTTTTTTATTACATAGTATAGACTACAGGATCCCTCCTCATGACCTGCACCTGCCCAATATTTATTCCCAGACACAAAGCCAACGAGGTACCTTAATAAATATCAAAATTTTCAAATTATTCAAGGCTATTCCAAAATGCTATATGGCTGTCTTTTTTTTTTCCCCTTCGTAAATAGGTTTATGTACGTCTCATAGTATATAGCACGAAAACTTTGACAACCATGACATAATAAGAGTTCTGGGTATGACACTATACTCTAATTCGCCGAAACACATGAAAGTACGTACATTCAGTAAGTGTGAACTCAGACATATAGTTATATACGCCAGCCAGAGGCAAGCCAGGCTTTGACAGAAAACTTACTGTTGGTGGTAAGAAAGGTGATGAGGAAAATTAGCATCACGACCTTGAGGTTAGCCTTGCCCATCACCATGATCGTAAATATTAAATGGAATGTATATGCTTCGCCGGATATCTTAATCAACTCTCTCTTTCCTTTGTTCTTGTTCTTAATTCTTAGTCGGATTGAGTGATGAACTTTGAAAACCCATATCCTATTTATACCACTAGAGCCGAAGAAACTACAAAATAGGTTGCCATGAAACCGAGCTTTCTCAAACGAAAGGCTAATATGTAATTAATGGGATGTTGTTGTTGCCTGTTGGACGTTTTGTTTATGGGGATCTAGTCCTCCGGCGGCAAATAATTGACGGTGTCGCTGTCTGAGGAGTTTTATTATTTATTTATTTATTTACTATATATATGTGCTGTGCTGAGCACCACTTGGTTCCTTCTGCAGCATTGTGATACTTTCGGTTTCGGCTCAAAAGAAAATGGTTTTTTATTTATTGCTCTTTCTATTATGAATAATAAATGCAATTATTTATTAATATAGATAATAATAATAATAATAATAATAATAATAATAATAATAATAAGAAACAGAGTAGACCAAAACAAGAACTTGAGCCTGCACTTCGATGACCCTTGCTGATAGAACTCAATGGAAGAAAAGAAAAACATAGTAAAATCCGATCGTGAAAATTTATTAATTTATAGAATTAAAGAACTAATCAATAATTTCATATATTTTTTCATTTAAGGAGGTTTTTAGCAATGTATATGATTAACACAAGAGACTTTATATCCTTAAAATCATATTCAAATATGACATGTTAATTTTATTTTAGTACAAATATAATTTGTTATATCTTGATAAAGTTAACTTTTAATATTCATTGTATTATCTTCACCGTTCAAATTTTGTTGAACCGTGTACCCTTTTGTATTGTTTATTAACTTCAAGGACCAGTTTGGTTATTTTGTTGTTTGCCCTAATTACCCTTAGGTTGCTACGTTGATAAGGGTATATTAGGAGGACTTGCTTGCAGCCGAGCTGCATGTTGCGCGGTATTTCTTCTGCGAAGAGTAATAAGATAAACTGAGAGCTTCAGCTCTGCGTGGAGTAGTCTCGTTCACATTGAACGGGGAAACCACGTAAAATCCTTGTGTTGTGCTTTCGCGTTTTAGTAGATTTTACAAATTTATATATAATTACTTTGAATATCGCGTAAATATTCATCGTATCCTCCAAATATCCAAGTTCATACAATTAATGATGTAAGTTATAGGGTGAAATTGATGAATGTATCGAGCCACAAAGTTTAGAAGGTTATTTGATCAACGTCATCGGGAGTTTGATTCGTGATAAAGGAGATGGTGTTTCAACACCTTTGAAACCGGTCACACGAAGAAAGTGCTTAAATCTACAATGACTTTTAAAACTTCTTATTGCATTTAGATAAGACAATTACAAAGATTTTGATGAGATATATTTTTATAATTATTAACTTATTGAATTTAAAAATACATGTATTTATGTAGATTAGTTCTAAATAATTATTTATCTTATTAAAATTTCTCTTTCTTTATATTCAACTCATTTGAAACAAAATACATCATTATAATATGGAATATTAATATATATATATATATAACAAATTCCCATTTACTATTCACTAAGGAGGGCACTAATAAGAATTTGTTGGGTCTATTTTATTATGTTTGTGAATTATGTCCATTGGGTTCGAAATCCATGTTGGGCCGCAAAGCTAGCTAGCAATGATAGCACTGGACTTGCCCATAAAGAATAAACGAAGTAGTCCAGCCCAATGCTAACAACAATGAGAGTTACTGCTTTGTAAAAGAGATGCAAACATCAAGCAACGACCCCGATTGAGTCATATATATGTGTACGTTTTGAAGGCTCAAGATAGGGTGCATAGCGGTTATGCACTCATCTATAATCAAATCTGGACCCTTTATTTAGAAAATCCAGATTTAAAGATGGTAAATTAAATACTATATTTATTTTTTCTAACTTTCTTAATCGGCTCATATATTTTTCGTTTTAGCTCGGATTTTAATTTTTTTTGCACAGATGGAACGAGTTCATCGTGCTCTACAAAATGAGATCAATTTTTTATATATTTTTTGAGAAAACAAATTCTGGCCTCTCGGTACCAACTGCATACCATATGGTATTTTCTTCGTTTTTAATTCGTTTTTGAAAACGTTTGCACAGAAGAGACGAGTTCATCATGATCTATTGGACCTACAAATTTCTGGACCAAAAAAATACCACCCAATACCATACTTCTACGAGCCTGTATTCAACCATCCCATAGTCTTGGTTTGTTTATACCACCATGGTACGCTTTTCAAACCATAGGTATGCTCTTATTTTAATACCAGTCAATACCATATGGTATAGACTGGTAAAAAATGACTCAATTTTTTTGTTCAAAAAATATATCAAAGTGGATATCATTTTGAAGATCACAATTAATCTGATCTAAATGTGCAAAAAAAAATTAAATTTCGACTTAAAACGAATGAGAAATCGTCCGTCAAAGATTAAGGAGGGAAAAATTAAAGGCTTTCCAGGACAGAGAGGGATGTTGATGTCATTCTAATATGGACGGGTTACTACTTACTCATGGTTACTCACCATAAGGATTTCTAGCCCCGTCGGTTGTGTATATAAATCACACACACCTAGTTTAGCAACACAACACTCTCTACCGTATTCACAGTTCTACTACACTTGAGCTTATTGGCTGATGCAATTGAACTCAGGGAAGCTAGACAATCATTTGCCAAGTTGCTACTCAACTAAAACCCGTTTGAAAATTCACCCATACTTTTAGGTGAATAACTATAGTATTACCTGAATAAAAACCAAAATTACGTTAATAACTACAGAAATACGTGAAAAATTGGCTTTAGCTGTTTGTCACTTAAATTGACAGGATAATTTTTCCATATATTATACACAAGATCAACCGTGAAGGAACAGGTGTCGGAAACAAGAAGACAACTCTGCTGTCTGCAGACAACAGTTGATACATAGCAGCACACAAAGAATATATATTTCTTGTTTCATACAGTAATTTCCTCGCGTAGTTTGATTAATTGGGAAAGGAAAATCGGCTATTGGTATGTTAAAAGTTAAAACGAAAAGAGCATCTCACCAAAAAAAAAAAAATAATAATAATAATAAGCGAAAAGAGCATCATTCTATATAAAGCGGAGACATGCTATAAGCTAATTTGAAAGTGTAATATCAAATAGTTTTAGTGATGGCGGAAACACCAAGACATGGTTTGGGATCAAATAAATTCAGAACTTATTTTGTTTCAAAATGAGTTATTATGTAGAATTTATTTTCAATTAAATAGTTTCTATTTGGAACACCACATTAAATCTTTATGAGTAAATAAAATTGAATACAAGAATCATATTGCTAACACATTTCAAAAATTGAATTCCATCAATATGTTCCAAAGCTATCCTTTGAGTACAAATGATTTCGTCTTGCATTACGCTAAATTGCATATCATCCCTTTCCGTTTCAATTTTCAACAAACATGTTATTTTTTATGAGTGCAATTTCAGCGTAAACACGACCTCAATGAAAATTTTGTTAGATACTCCGTTTAGTTTTCAAATCCTCATAAAAAACTCAACTAGAAAGATAAATCAAAGAAAGTAAGACATGACATGAGAGAACACAATAAGAAAATAGCTAGATTAAGAGAGGCAAAGAAATCAATGTTATACTTAAAAGTTTAGAAACTTACATTTTTAGACTTTAAGTTAACCAAATGTTTCTACTTAAAATTTCGATTTTGACGGCTCGATATTAGTCTTTAATATATACTTTCTTTTTAGCATGAATACATTTTTGTATATTCATAAATAAATAAAAAGTCTAATTATGTTCTTATAAATTGCGTAGCAATACTGTGCCAATTATAATTGTTGTAATTCATACGCTGTGCAGTCCCCATCATTTCTTATTAACAACATGGCAGAATCCAGCATGGCAGCATCCACTCATACAAATAAAATAAAATAAAAACAACACATTGTTGTATATCCGCCTGTCAAATAATAATTAAAAAAATAACAGCATTGCCTTCTGTTTTCTTGCACTTGTAACCTTTGGTTTGGAGTCGATCAGATGACATAGTCAAGCAATGTAATAAATTCAATCATTATATGAGTATTCACGAAATAGAAATGTGCATAAAGTTTAGCCTAGCTAGCTGTAACCTCGATCGATGGTGGTGCCAGAAATATAAATGAGAAGACTGAGTAGAATCGTAGTAATTGAATCGGAGGTTAAAGAAACATCGGATACAGTTTTTTTTAATTTTGTTACGAATTTTACATGTTCAAGATTGAAATGTGTTGCTCCATTAGGTAATTGGACCGATATGGGTATTGGGTTGGGCCAAATGAACTCATACACACCATTGATAATAATTTGGATTTGCGTTGAATTTGGATTGGATCTATATAATAATACAGAAGAAAAAGCAATATCGACATCTTATTATTCGCTTTCGACCATTTCACCGTTTCAGTGTTGCCACAAATGAACCGAGCTGAGTCGAGTTCGAGCTAGCTTGGTTACTAAGGGGTTGTTTGGAAGTTGTGATTCTTCAAATTGATGTATTGGGACAATTAGTGTATTATCATTTGATGGATTGAATCAATTGATGTATTAGGTAAATATCTTGTTTGGAGGTTTAGATTGTGTTTTTGTTCCAAAGGTAAAAAAGTTGTGATTGAGTGATTGTGAAGAATCTCAACAAAAAGTAGAGATTGTAAATCCCTCAATATTGAGTGATTGTGGTGGGGCCTCCAAAAAGTAAATGCATGTATTCTAGTTCTACATAAACCAAAAAAACGACTTAATCTCACAAATACATGAATTAGATCAATACACCATTTGAAATCACAACTTCCAAACGACCCCTAAAATCTTGACTCGTACTTGATATATTCATTTTGTATGTAATGTATGATATACGTGATTAATGTCAAGATGAAAATAATAATAATAATAATAATTAAGTGTTCAATATTAACTAATCTCATGTTATACTTTATGGTTCATATTATTTGATTAATAAATTTTAACTAATCAAAATTATGTTATTTCTTAGTATCGAACCAATCTTATTTCATAATTTCTTTTTAAAATTAAATAAGACATATGTGCTCACATAATCAATGTGTTGAACTTCATATAGGGTGAGATTTATAATTTAACAATCCTATGAATTACCGAAATCGAACTCATATAGATCGATTCACTTATAAGTCTGTAATCGAATTGGCTCTCTAGCCACAATGTTGAGAGTTGACATATCTCATGAGCTCTAAACGAGCCAGCTCACGAGCTCCGCAAGTTGTAAAAGACTTTGCTCAATCTTGACTTGTTGATAAATGAGTCGGGTTTTGAACGAGTTTTTTTAAATTGCTCAGAAACCTCAGCCCCACGTGCCACTTTGTGACATCGAATCCTAACCAAAGTTGAGGACCACCTGCAATCAAATTCGACCACCCTAATAACTTGGTCAACATACGTGAGAGTAGAAAGCTGTTTAACTTGTCTTTTCCCCCATCCCCCATTTTATTCTCTCCTCTTCAAAACCTAAACCTTCCCCCCCCCCCTCTCTCTCTCTCTCTCTCATCACCATTCATTTCCACTTGTCACAACCCCAAATTTCACTACTTAAATTACTTATATCACCATCTTTCCATACTATAATTGACACATAATCGCCAAACCATGCAACCTCCACCCCGATAGCCGCCCGCACCCAAAAAAAAAAAACAATGCCTCATCACCACCACCACCACTTCCTCCTCCTCCTCCTCCTCTCCCTCCCCCTACTCTCCACCGCCGCCGACCCAACGCCACCGCCGCCGCCACCACCGGAATCCGCCATCCACACACAATCCACCGACTGCCCCACCCACTGCGGCGGCGTCGCCATCCCATTCCCCTTCGGCACCAAACCGGGCTGCTACCTCAACCCGGACTTCCTCATCACCTGCAACGCCACCAACGTCCCGCTCCTCGGCTACTCCACGACACGTGTCCTCGACATCTCCGTCCCCGACGGCGAGCTCCGCATCGACTCCCCCGTGGCACGCGACTGCTACAACAAGTCCGGCCAGCGCGTCGCCAACGCGCCCTCGGGGATCTGGGACCTCAAGTTCCCCATCTCCAACACCCGCAACAAGTTCACCGCCGTGGGATGCGACACGTACGCGCTGGTCCAGGGCGTGGACGTGGACCAGAAGTACGCCACGGGCTGCATCTCGTACTGCAGCAAGCGCCGCGACGTGGTCAACGGGTCGTGCGCGGGAGTCGGGTGCTGCCAGGCGCTGGTCCCGAAAGGTGCGCGTGGGTTTTTGGCGACGGTGAACAGCTATAACAGTCACGCGTCGGTGTGGCGGTTCAATCCGTGTAGCTACGCGTTTCTGGTGGAGGACAGCGTGTTTGGGTTTTCCACGTCGGATCTGCCGGATTTGCGCGGGGTGGCGAGTTTCCCCGTGGTGTTGGATTGGGCGGTCGGGAACGAGACGTGTAAGGAGGCGGCGGAGAAGGGGTATTTTGGGAAGAGCAGTGTTTGTATGGAGAATAGTCAGTGTTACGAGCATGAAACGGCGCCGGGGAGTGGGTACCGTTGTAGGTGTTTGGCCGGGTATCGGGGCAACCCGTATCTCGCCGGCGGCTGTCAAGGTATGTATGTGTGACTGTGTGATCATGAGGACTGATAATTGACTATTAAATATTAATCCATTAATTTTGAATTTTTTTTATTATAAAAACGGTTGTATAGATTATTTTAAGGGGTATTATACGGGTTGTATGTATTTTTATTTAGTTAGGGCTAGGTATCATATGTAACTCTATTGTAATATTTTTATCAAACAAATTTTTCTCTGCTATTTTTTTTTACATCGAAACACACTTTTGTATTTTAGAAAGATTATCTAACATGCGCTTTTGCTAAAATTTAAATATAAACATCGAAAATCACGACAGAACCATGTGGATCGGTTCAATCCACACTATCTTGGCAAATGGGAGGGAAGATATTATATTTGAGAAATTTTATAATGCTATATAGTATTGGTGTTACAAGGTTTTGCTTTTATGGTACAACTTCATATTGTACTTATACTTTTTGTAAAAATTCATTTATGGTACAACTTGAACTTGTACCTTTATTTGATGGTACAACTTCAAGTTGTAAAGTTGTACCATAACACAATGCAGTCAAAAACGCGATTCTACCTAGAAGCGGTTGGGTGACCTAGGATCGATAAAATGAAATCACGAAGGTATTGGACTATACAAAAGAAATAATAAAAAAATTAAAGTAAAATTAATAGCGGTGTTTTAGACATTTATATCGTCCAAAATATATACGGTTATAGTGAAGGTTATTATTATAATTAACTCTTTCTTGTTTGGTTGTATCATTTTTCAGATATTAACGAGTGCGATGATCCAACTTTGAACAAGTGCACAAACTATTGCAAGAATACCAAGGGGAGCTACACTTGTTCCTGCCCCAAAGGCCACAACGGAGACGGCCGGAAAGACGGCTCCGGCTGTATTCCCAATCGTGGCTCTTCTTTTCAACCCATCGTCGGTAATATCACCGAAATACCCCTCCACTTATTAAACGCATGAAAAATTCTTAGCTCCAATCTTGCTTAGATGTAGAAGTTCTAACCATCTATATGTAAGTTTAGGGTTATAGCCTATAGATATAATATGCCCCTCTACTATGAGGTTTTATTAAACATGTCCTTCTTCTATTTTTTATATCAAACATGCACCTGTACTTTGTAAAAAGGATTAAACATGCCCTTTTGTTTAAATTTTCAACCAAAAACCGTTAACCAAGGTCGAACTTTGGTTTGGGCGGCACAAATGTCTAAAATATCCCTAATAATTTCACTTTTAGTTTATTTTTTGTTTTGAGAAATACAACGGGAGAAAAAACTGACATTTTCTCTCCCATTTGCTGATGTCGGGTCGTCTAAATCTCGGTTCAACCATGATTGACGATTTTTTCAATGAAAATTTTAACAGAGGGGCATGTTTGATGTAAAAAATAGTAAAGGGGCATGTTTGATAAAACGTCATAGTAGAGGGGCATATTATACCTATAATCCGTCAGTTTATTACAGGTGGATTCAACTTTTTTTTTCTTAACATTTAATATTCTTAATTATACTAAGAAAATCAATAATTAAAATATAAAAAGAAAATATGAATCCACTACCAAAAAACTGACATGTGGCTGGTTGAAAGTTCTGCGTCCTCCAATCAAGATTGCGTTGTAACTGACGTGTAGTACCCTCTACACAACAAAACCATAATATTCGCAGGAGTCAGCGCCAGCGTGTCGTTTGCATTCATGTTCATCTACCTAACCTTCATGGGCGTCCACAAGCGGAAGCAAATGAAGCACAAGAGAGAGTTCTTCAAGCAGAACGGCGGCATTCTCCTCCAACAGCTCCTCTTCAAAACCAACCCTAATTCCTCCTCCTCCTCACTCAACAACAACAACAACAACAACACCGCCAGAATCTTCACCGAGCACGAGCTCAACCTCGCCACCAAAAACTTCAACAAGTCCATGGTCGTCGGCCGCGGCGGCTTCGGCGTCGTCTACAAGGGCACCTTCTCCTCCTCCTCCGCCGCCGCCACCACGGTGGCGATCAAGAAGTCGATGGCCATCGACCGGAGCCAGATCGAGCAGTTCGTCAACGAGGTGATCGTGCTGTCGCAGATCCACCACCCGAACGCGGTGAAGCTTTTGGGTTGCTGCCTGGAGACGCAGGTGCCGCTGCTGGTGTACGAGTTCATCACCAACGGGACGCTGTTCGAGCACGTGCATGAGGAAGGGTTTAAAGGGTCGCTGCCGTGGGAGACGAGGCTGAGGATCGCGGTGGAGACGGCGGCGGCGCTGGCGTACATGCACTCCATGCAGATCATACACAGGGACGTGAAGTCGGCGAATATACTGCTGGACGATGGGTTCACGGCCAAGGTGGCGGATTTCGGGGTGTCGAGGCTGGTGCCGTTTGACGAGGAGCAGATTTCCACGTTGGTTCAGGGGACCTTGGGGTACATGGATCCCGAATACTTCCAGTCAGGTATATATATATAACCATTTTTACTACGCGAGTTGATTCATGTCATTTGGTGATTATTCACGTAATTTCGATGATCATTTTCAAGTTCAATGTTAGTCAAATCGTGCTGAAATGCAGTACGCTTTTACACTACCAGGTCACCATAACGCTTCTATACATAGAATCGTTCTTTTCACTTGCAATTTTAGTCAGAATCTACGCTTTAAAAAGCTTAAAATCTTACGTTTTTACGCTTCTGGATCACCGAAATGCTTCTGATTAGAATCGTGATTTTGAATGCATCGTTCACGTATTAAAATCTTACCTAACAATTTCTATTTGCCATATTATATGGAAATAAATTTGGATTTTCAGTATTTTGTGTAAAAATGAGGTGCATTGGTCACAATCTACACAAAATTATCCATTTTGGTACGCTTGAATATTTAAAAAATTGATATTACAGAGGAAAAATAACATTATAATGAATAAACACTAGATTGCATGAATAACCATTACTGTCTGCACGAATAACTACCATTATTACGTGAATTAATACTAATACACCGTGCATAAGCATAAATTTACATGAACAAAACGTTTAAAAAAAATGCGCGAATTAGATGTTTTTGGCTCTTTAGGTGTCACCAAACCAACCTTTTTCCATTTTTTAGACATTCAATTCTATAAATATTCAATCTCATCCTTAATTTGCCCTAGAGTACGTAGTAGCTAATCTGCTACATGCATGCACGTTGTGGGTGCAGGGATCCTGACGGACAAGAGCGACGTGTACAGCTTCGGGGTGCTGCTGGCCGAACTTCTGACCGGAAAAATGGCGATATCGTCGGAGTGCAAGGAGAAGAGCCTGGCGCTCCACTTCCTGTGCTCCCTGAAGGAAGAATACTTGCTTGAGATACTTGAAGAACGAGTGAAGGAAGAAGGCGACGTGAAGCAGCTTTCCAAAGTGGCTGAGGTGGCCAGGAGCTGCCTGAAGCTGGAAGGAGACCAGAGGCCCACGATGAAGCAAGTGCTTCAGGAGCTTCAGGATCTGACTACGACGACGACGGAGCATAGCTTGGTCGCCGGCGGCCCGGGAGGAGATCAGTCTCCACCGCTAAATACTGTCGGCCGCCATGCTTTTGGTGAACTCAAGGCCAGATAGCTGGGCAAGATAACTGCATATGTTCTGATTGTTAATAAGGTTCTGACGATAAAACGTTTCTTTGGTCGAAGAGACAAACCCTAGTGTATCGATCAATGCATGGTTCTTATGGCATTTGTTGATTTAAGTGTTGACATTGTAACTTATTTTCCCATGTTTTCTGTTAAACAAATAGGCTACTCCCTATAAGTTCATTCGTTTGAAGATTTGCATAGTTTTAATGTAACTTGAATTATTAGCTAATATTTATAGCGACGTAGGAGAATATAAAAGGTATATAGATGATTAAAGATTATGGTGTCTAAGAACTAGTTAACAAAATTAATTTGAATTAGAAGAGATTAGGAGATATTAAGAGTACGTATCTTATATTATTTTCTTACCTATTTATTAGTGTTGCTTTTCAACTAACGAACGCGAAGAATTAGGGTAGTATGCGGGGAAAAAAATAATTTTTCAACTATAATCGGTTATCGGTCAATAAATATTCTCTCATACCGAGTCGATTCACCACAAGTCCAACCGACTCAGTTTCTTCTATTTCTATTCTTGTGGGGGGGAAAACTAATGATTGTGAAACTGGTGGTTATAAAATTAGCAGTATGATATTTTGTACAAAAAATTATAGTTTAATCATAATTTAACTGTTTGACCCCATTAAAATCATCTACTAATTAAAATTCTACCCTAGTATTCATAGTCCAGCCAAACGATAGGATGCGATTTCTAAAACATTGATAAACATTCTGCTGGATTCATTGGGGCCGGGCCTAGCTAGACAATACTTCAACTCGAACCGGCAAGCCGGCCTGCCGGCCGGCGTATATGCTCGGCACAAAGCCAACTGCTAGCTCCAAACTTAGAAACCCAATTAAATCGCCGGCCGGCTATTTATAAATAAAAATTATCACTTAAGAACAATCGAAAAGATAAACAATCTCGTTAATTAACAACATCCCATAATAAAGAAGGTCATGATCAAACCGACTGTTTCTTCTTCAATTATATATTTATTATATTCATCCCTGGATCACAACTCATCATCATGATATATAAATTCTCACCATGAACAAAATGTACAATTGTAATTATCACCCTGTTACCCAATTAATCCCACCCTCTAATTACAGTTCATCCTACAATCCCAACCCACCTATGGACAAAAAAAAAAAAAGGATCTGCATAACAAGAAAGTCATTTTCCAATATTCTTCTCCATCCAAGTTATCTTCTTTACACACATAACTCTCCTTTGGAGAGATGTATTACCCCAGTACTCCAACACATATGGCTGCAAAAATTTCTCAAATCCTCCTCTCCATTCTTGATCAAGAGGGTAGCTAGCTAGCTAGACTTTGCCATCCGACGAAGATTCGACGACGTGTCTATCCTTTTTCACCATTGATGAAGATGAAGCAGTGGTGATGGAGTTGGTGCCCTTGGAAGGAGCAGAAGAAGGCGTTGGAAGCTTCTTGGGCAACATCTGCTCCCATGAATAGGGTTTGGGCAATCTGGATGCATCTGACGCCACCACCAAAACAGCAAGCAAAGTGATGAAGATCAGGCAGCACTTTTGCCTCCAAGAAACTGACATATTGGCAGAATTTTGATGAGGAGATGGAAGTGCAGAGAATAGAGTCAGAGTCAGATCCCTTTTTTCAGCATTCCTCAGTGGGTTTTTGGGCAGGCTTTTAATTAACAAGGGGAGACATGGTTGAGTAATGTGAGGAGAGGGATGCAATGCCAACTTGTTTTTGTTCGACAAAAGGTGTGTGTCAATGGCAGACAATGGTGTAATACATTACTATTACTTTTTTTCTTCTTCTTCTTCTTTTTCACTTTGTGTGTTGGCTGTGTTTCGAAGTTGTTGTCCCTATGGAGTTTTTTGTCGCCTTTATTATTGCCCCCTAGCTCGTTGGATGTGTGGAAGTTGTATGTATGTTATAATATTCTGTGGTGGATTCTTGCGATTAATGGTGGTGATTAGTGTGTGGTTGTGTGCAATTGTGAGTGTGAAGGAGCATGATAAAGGGGGATGAAAGAAGTGATAATTTAACAAATATTGATATAAGGACCACATTTGTGTGGTTAGGGGACTGAGAGATTTTAATCTCTGACGAGAAATCATTCTTTGTTGCAGTTAGCTCAAATGGTATGATTACTGATTTGCCTTCTCACACGAAAAAGTAGGGTTGGTTTTCACGTTGCGATGGTTAAATAGATATATTATTTCTGGTGAATACATGCAAAATAGTATATATATGTATTGATGAATTTGATACATTGCAAAACAACGTTTGATATGTGTAATTGTGTATGTCATATCATCATGTAAGAGCTGAGATATAACAATCTCAAATTAACAATATCACATCAGCTAAAAACATAGATATAACAATCACTCATTTTAAGTGATAGTTTATGTAAAGCAAAAAAATAAAAAACAAACACGATATATTCGAACCCACAAATCCACAATGTGCAAATTGTTCACCATGATTTAACCATTGAGGCAAACCCTAATCGATGGTGCTAATAATAAATCTAATATTATAAATTCCATGGTGATATAAAATCACAACAAGATTGGTACTATCGTACATGTTTCACACTTAGCTTATGATCCATAATCTTTTAACTCCATCAATAAAATAGATATTGGATAAAAAGTTAATTAAACACGGTAATCTTATACTAAAAATACACATTTTATTTGACAAAAAATACATTAACTATGATTATAATTTGATTAAAAATACATAGTTAATGATTATAATTAGTTGGTTTTTGCTTTCTTCCTGTAGCTAAACTTCAGTGGCTGCCTGTAGCTTTCTTCCTGCTAATTAATATCACTGGTTCATTGAAATTATTAAAAAACAAAGCACTGATTTTTTGTACAACTAAAAAGTTAGCATCAATTGGCTGTGGTTCATTCATTCATTAGGAATATTAATTTGTTGAGATAAATGGATGGTAGTAAACAAAAATGAATCTCTGTCAAAGATTTTACAGCTTTGCCTGCATATTCTTGGTGGAAGTGGACAAACATAAATATATAGTTGTTGCATGACGATATATGTCCACCACTAGCTATCACAAATTAACTAATATATATATAGTCAAGCGTGTGTTTATGTAACATATTTAGAACATACAAAAAAAAAAAGCTATCTTTCTGCCCATTCAGTAATCAAAACTATTCTCCAATTTTAATCATGCAAACACGAGGGATAGTGCTCTCTTTTTCATTATGGTTCCGAGCCCCGGTCGAGCATACAAGCCAGCAACCAGCTGCCTATAGCGGCCAAAGGAATATTTTTCTATCTTAGAAAAGCGGAGCAGAACCTGAAAAGAAGCATCTTCGTGCTTTTTGTGCCCCACTTTCCCAACAATGTCGCAGCTTCGACACTAGTTTAAGATGAACAAATCCTTACATGTAATAATGGAGTATGCCAAAAGTAAAGTCATCTTTGCCGGAACGGGGGGCAGTCACTCGAAGGCAGCTCGTTTGTTGGAATGATTGTATAAATGTATCTTCCTTATTAATTAAGAGCACTTAGTATAGCGCGAATCGCGTAGAGAATTTCGTTAAAATTCGAGTTGTTGAGAGAAGTTTCAGAATATGAAATATATTATTTTTTGTATCTACTTTTTTGCAAACGAAATCCAATGAATTATGATGTGAAGTTTGTGCGGTTTCATCATTTCCAGTACTTAAATTAACTATTGATATTTGGAGTTGCGAAAATTCGAGTATGCGTTCTTTCATCGGCACAAACTCTACTATATATCATGTCGAAAATCAAAATAAAGCTTTGACTTCAAGTAGTAGTTAGGTTGCCTTTAGAATTAAAAAAAATACAGCAGAAAGTTGAGAATGTCGGGTAATATATATGTCTCGCCACTCTCTTCCCCTTTTTCATTTTGTACTTTGTGGTTCCCTGAGACTTGAGGAGTTTCAAGGGTCATAATTAGGCAGAACTAGGTAGCCAGTATCAAAAGAAGAAATTAAAATCAATTTACAAACTCGATATTCTTTTTTATAGATCTTTTCAATAGTTCAAGAAAGTTGTTAGATATTGAGCTATGATTCTATGAACTCGTAAGATATTTTTTTCCCCTTACTATTAGGTATTAAGTAAGTTATTAAACATTTTAACTGAAGTAAAAGTGTTTTAAAAACATATATTTCATTTATCGTTTGATTGCAGTCTACAAGTCTGTAACTGCTATTTTTGCTTCTAACGCCTAAGCGCCCATAAGCGACGCCTTAGCGAGTTAGGGACTAGGCAAGGCCACAATATCTGCCTTACTCCTAATGCCTTCTTGAACCTTAGTTGGAAATACAAATAAAACTTATAAATATTTTGTGAATGAAGTAATTGTTAAGTCTTTTGACCCTCCTCTCTAATCACAATGCATGGTTTCAGTCTCGAGCTTAGTAAGTATTACAATATCATTGCACATTACCTATTATTAGTAAGCATTTGAGATTATTGGTAAATATTCAGAAGTCATAAGTATGCAGATTGTTGATAAGTATTCAGAAGCCACAAGTACATATTTTAAAAGTAACTAGTTTTCTGGCCTACGCTTTGCAACGATAAGACCCTAAATATAGTTTAAATCAAACAATTCACAAAATATTTGGGATTAAGATGCCTCTATAAATTTGTGTATTGATACATAAAAAAACAATTATCTCTCCATAAACTATACATATTGTCTTACTAATATGAAAAGGTTACTTAATACAGCCTACTAAACCTGGGGTCACCTGCAATCAATTCGACGCCAACGAGGCTTCACCCCCAGCAGCCTTGTACCAACGGGACGCCAACTGCTTCTCGTGTGGTAAAGATCTATGTTTTAGAGAATGGATTAGTGAAATATATTTTCCATTTAAATTACATATAAATATCCATATGAATTGATTTGCATCGATCCGAGTCCTATGATAAATTTCCAAGGCCTGCCATGTGATGAGATGGATATTGACATATTACCCATTATCATTACTATACTTGAGTTGAGCCTCTTATTAATGGAAATTGGTAAACAAATGTTTTAGGACTTACGCAATTAAAAAAACTAATTGACATCTAGAAACCTCCAATACAGTGTTTAAATTTTGAATAGAGTACCACATTTTGATATTACTAAAGGTCATTATCACCGGCACAAAACAGCTTATCCCCACTATAAATGTAAACATACATCGACTCACTGAAAAACATAGGAGATCATACGGTTAAGCCAACAAGAAGAATTGAAGATTACAAATTAAATTTTACAATTCCCTCAACGTGTAATAGCTATAAATCGTCACAGTAAGTAATAACAGTAAAAAATAACAAATGATGATAATAACAGTGATAAGAAAAAACATCTTCCCATACGCCTTGCTGCAGATATCAAAACCATATCCTACTTCCAACCTCAAAATAATGCCAAGCTACATTCTGGCATCCACAGATGATTCCTCTGCGTGCAGATGAATAGCTCTGATCTGATCTGCTCTGCTCTGAATCTAATCTTCATGCCTACATGATGGCCGAGGTTATCAACTCAGCCTCCTTAGGACGCCACATTGTCTTCTGAACACACAGCAACCCCTCACCCTCCTTCGAGTAAATCATTCGGATGTCCCAGTTCATCGATTTTGCCAAGCTCTCGACCTCGGTTATGGTCTCGACATTGTCCCTTACGATAAGCTTGCCTCCTGGCCTCAAGATCCTGTCAACTTCCGCCACCAGTCCCACCAGGTTACACCTGCAATAGAAAGAGGAAGGGGGGAAAAACATTAACGATTGACTTTATAAAGAGATTGATTTCAGCCGGAATGTGAATAGAGAAAGAGTGGGGAGCGCGTCTTCTGACCTCTTCTTGACAACCGATAGGAGATGATCTGCGTGCAGAACATCAAAAGTTCTGGGGTAGGTGTTGAACGACTGGCACCAATCATGGTACATTCCGAACAAACCACGCTCGTATATAATGGGAAGCGTATCTGGAGAATCGATGGGAACCACATTCATAACCCACACTTGCAAGTCCTTCAGTGCAGCCGCAAACCTAGCGACATAATAAACCAGCATATGAGTGCATGACGAAAAAGGCAACTTCGAAGGAATAATAAGGTTGTGGGTGACAAAAGGTTGTTTGTCTTACCCTCCATAAACCGCTCTCATGTCCATGACATTTCTTACAGAAGACCAGTTGATGCCCATTCCGTTGAGGTATGATTGCGAGACGACATTCTTCCAGTGCTTATAGTCAGCAGCAAAATCTTCCTGACCTGGTTTGCCATAAACTCCGACCTGGGATTTCAACCAGTATGGTGGATTCTCCAATCTCTTTGGCCATTGCTCTGGCCAGTTAGATCCTCGTAGAGATTCATCTTCGGGGACTTTGTGCATGCATGCCTCGAGGGGCACGTTCCTGAAGGCAAGAGATACAAAATGAATTATGTGAGCAATCAAAAAAGTAGGGAACAGCAACCAAAAATAGCAGCATGCAGA